CCTAGATGAAATGGAAAAATTCCTAGAAAGGTACAAACTACAGAAACTGACTCAAGAAGGAATACAAAATCTAAATAGACCTATAACAAGTAAAGAGATTGAATCAATAATTTAAAAAAACACACAAAAAAACCCACAGCCTGGCCAGCATGGCTCAGCAGTTGAGCATCAGCCTATAATCCAGGAGATTGAGGTTCAATTCCCAGTCAGGGCACATGCCTGGGTTTCAGGCTCGATCCCCAGTAGGGGCGTGAAGGAGGCAGCTGATCAATGACTTTCTCTCATCATTGATGTTTCTATCTCTCTCTCTTCCTACCTCTCTCTGAAATCAATAAAGACATATTAAAAAAAAAAAAAAATCCCACAAAGAAGAATCCTAGGACCAAAGAAAATCCTATGGCTTCACTGGTGAATTCTACCAAATGTTTAAAGAATTACCACCAATTCACACACTTCCCAAATATGGAAGAGGAAGCAGTGTTTCTCAATTCATTCTATGAGGCCAGTTTTATCCTGATACCAAAACTAAATAAAGACATCACAAGAAAGCGAAACTACAGACCAATATCTCTTATAAATATAAACACAAAAAATCTACAAAATAATTGGAAACAAAATACAGCAACATAAAAAAATTATACACCATGACCAAATGGGATTTATCTTTAAAATGCAAGGTTGGTTTACAATATGAAAATCAATCAATGTAATATACCATATTAATGAAATAAAAGACAAAAATCATACTGTCATCTCAATAAACACTCTTTCATGATAAAAACACTCAGCAATCTAAGAGTAGACGAGAATGTCCTTAATGTGATAAAAGACACCTACAACTAATCCACAGTTAGCAGCATATTTAATGGTGAAAGACTAAAATCATTCCCCCTAAATCAAGAACAAGACAAGAATATTCACTCTTGCCTCTTCTACTCAAATTTAATTGAGGTTCTAGTTAGAGCAATTAAGAACAAGAAATAAAAGGCATCAAATTGAAAAGGAAGAAGTAAAATTATCTCTCTTTGCACATGACATGATTTCATATATAGAAAATCCTCGGGAATCCACAAGAAAACAATAAAAGTGCATAAAAAAAGTATAAGATTGCAAAATACAAGATAAGTATACAAACATTAATTGTATGACTCTCATCACTGATGTTTCTATCTCTCTCTCTCCCTCTCCCTTCCTCTCTCTGAAATCAATAAAAATATATTTTTAAAATTATTTAAAAAAATTATTAAGGTATCTCAAAATGGATCAAAGACCTAATTATAGAAGCTAAAACTATACAAATCTTAGAAAAAAACATAGGTATAAATCTTTGTGACCTTGAATTAGGCTGTGGTTTCTTGGATATGACACCAACAGTACAAAGAAGAAAAGATAAATTGGACCTTACCAAAATTAAAAACATTTGTGCTTGAAAAGACACTGCCAGAAAGTAAAGACAGCTCACAGAATAGGAGAAAACATATGCAAATCATATATCTGTTAAGAGTCCAGTGTCTAGAATATATAAAGCATTCTTACAACTCAATAATAGAAATATAAACAACCCAGTTACAAAATAAGCAAAGGAAAGCAAATAGACATTTCTCCAAAGATGTATAAATGGCCAATAAGCACATGAAGTGATGTACAACATTATTAGGGAAATGTAAATTAAAACCACTAAGATACCACTTCACACCCACTAGTACAGCTAAAATCAGAAAGATGGACAATAAAAGTGTTGGTGTGAGGATGTGGAAAAACTGGAACCTTCATACACTTCTAGTAGTAATGTAAAATAATGCAGTTGCTTTGAAAAACAGTTTCTCAAGAAGTTAAACATAGACTTACCCTATGACTCAGCAATTCCATTCCTCAGTATATATAATGAGAATTAAAAACAATGTCTACATAAAAACTTGTACATGGGTGTTCAAAGCCACATTATTCGTAATAGCCCAAAAGTGGGAACAACCCAAATGTCCATCAACTGATGAGTGGATAAACAAAAATTGGTATATCCATTCAATGGAATATTATTCGACCATGAGAGGAATAAATTACTGATACATGCTACAACATGAATGAATCTTGAAAACATGCTAAATGAAAGAAGCCAGACACAAAAGACCATATATATTATTCAATTATATAAAATGTCTATAACAGACAAATTCATAGAGATAGAAAGTAGACTTGTGGTTGCTAGGAATTTATGGGGAGTAAATGGAGAGTGCTTGTGAGTATGTGGTTTCTTTTGGCAGAGATACTCTGAAATTAGATATTGGTGATAGTTGCATAACTTTATGAATATACTAAAAAATCACTGAATGATCCACTTTAAAAAAGTGAATTTTATGGTATATAAATTATATCTCAATTTTAAAAATATAGCTGGTACAATGGAGGTATCTTTTACTAAGATAGGGAAGATGAGGGAACTGCCACATGTGGAAGAGAGAGGAAGAATTTGGACATGGTAAGTTGGAAATACTGATTAGACATTTACGTGGATTTATTAAGTAGGCAGTTGGACATATTAGTCTGCAGTTTAGGGGACAGATACGGGTTAGAGATATAAACTTGGAAAAAATTAATACATACATGTAAAATACTTAGGATGCTTCCTGGAACATAGTAAGATCTATAAATGTTAGCTATTATATTTATCTTGTATGTATAGAGTAATAACCAATTATTCTAGCACAATTGTAGAATCCCTTCCTAATTTGTAATGCCACCTCTGTTGTATACAAATCTCCCATTTAGATTGAGGGTCTTTTTCTATAATTGTATTCTTTTAAGTAGAAATTGTTTTAGGGGAGAGTAGATTGGAAGCCAAGACTCCACTCAACTTTTCTCAATTTACTTCATACGAACATAAATGATTCTATGCTTCAGTGTCATCTTTGCTATCTAGAGAGAAATCACCTGGATTCTTTCTGCCTTTCAGAGGGTGCTATGAGGATAGATGAGATCCTAGGCGGGAAGTTCAGAAAGCTGAGTAATACAAAGCTGCAGAAGGAAGCTATGTGAAGGAAAAGAGATTCCATAGGATATTTTGAGTCAACTCTCCTTAAAATTATAAATTTTTTTAAAGTTTTTTTTAGGTTGTGATAAAAAAACCAAAAACATAAAGTTTACCATCTTGGCCCGCCAGGCATGGCTCAGCGGTTGAGCGCCAACCTAGGATCCAGGTGATCGGGGTTCGATTCCTAGTCAGGGCACATGCCCGGGTTGCGGACTGCAGCCAATCAATGACTCTCATCATTGATGTTTCTATCTCTCTCTCCCTCTCCTTTCCTCTCTCTGAAATCAATAAAGATATATTTTAAAAATAAATAAAATTTACCATCTTGGTAACCATATGAGAAAACTTTTAAAACAGTCTTTGCATTTGATGTCACCCAAAATCTCCCCAAGACAGACTGTCTCCTCATAGTTCAACTCCACCTTCTGGTTCAAAACTTACTTTTTCAAAGAGGTTTCTGAACACCAGGAGTAAATTTGCTTCCCCACTCCTAGTCACCTTCTGTCTCATTATCCTGAAACACTCTCCTGAAGTTTTTTAAAAATATGTTTTTATTGATTTTTTTACAGAGAGAGGAAGGGAGAGGGGAAGAGAGAGAGAAACATCCATGGGTTGCCTCCTGCATGCCCCCCGACAGGGGATGAAACCCAAAACCTGGGTATGTGCCCTGACTGGGCATCAAACCAGCAACCCCTCAGTGCACCGGCCCACGCTCAACCAACTGAGCCACACAGGCCAGGACTGAACTATCTGTGTTTATTGGCTTATTAACTGTCTCTCCCTCCCCCCTAAAATATAAATTATACCCGAGCAGGAACCTGGTCAGGCTTGTGTCCCCATGCATAGAACAGCGCTTTGCACATATGTCCTGTTGAGTATTTGTAAAATATTTGCTGAGTAATAAGCATAGTGCTTTTTAATTATCAAGCAGTTTCACATATATTATTTCATTTGATCATTATAAATCTTTGAGTAAAATGGGATTGCTAACTCCATTGTAGAGACTCAGAGATGCATCTCAGCCAAAGGCATAGGACTAAATGAGATAGGATCGCTGTGTTGGGAGCTTGCTTTTTTCAATATATTTACTCCAGTTCTAGGGCTAAGGGTATTTTTAAACCGCCTTGCCATTAAGGAAGTGATGACTCTGGAGGATAGTGGAAACAACATGCACATGTTTTAAAAGTTGCCAGTTCCTGCAGTTGAATCCCCCCACTCCACCCCCCC